TACAGGGGCGCTTTGGGTCGGAATCCACTCGACAGCACTTAACAACAACAACAACAACAGATGTGTTTTTACTCCTTTGCCATGTTCATTTGAACGAGTCATTGTTTGTTCTTTGTGTGTCTTCTGATTTTTTGTTGGAGCACTGGAATTTTCAATGGTGTTAACTTTCTCAGTTTTCCCCAGTATTTGGTGTTTCTGCACTTACTACTTTCTTCACTCTCATACTTCGTCTCTCATACTTCAGACATACTGTCAGGAGGGACCAGTCCCTGGAGAAGGATATCATATTTGGTAAAGCAGAGCTTTAGAGAAAAAGAGGAAGACCCCCAACTAGATGGATTGGCACAGGGGCAGCAGCAATGGGCTCAGACGTAGCAATGATCGTGAGGTTGGTGCAGGACTAGGCAGTGTTTCATTTTGTTGTGTACAGGCTTGCTATGAATTGGTACTGACTTGATGGCACCTAACAATAACAACTTTCTTCAAGAAGTTGGCAGAACCTTTGGCCTTTGCTTACCATCTCCTCATCCTCGACATGATAGTTCTTTCTCCCTGCCTGCTTTAATTAAAATTTGATCATTCCAGGTCTCAGTTTTCAACTTTCAGTCTCTCCCAAACACATGAGAGACCAAGCTGCTGCATCAGCCAGCACCATCCATCAGGTGAGATAGTATGTGTTAATCAGTCTGTCCACCTGGGGCTGCAGTACCCTCTCTCTGGTTATTACTCTGTTCTATTGTCTGTTTCTGCAATTACATTCTCAGTCAGAAAACCCACACACAAGGAAGGCCCTTCAGGGCTGGGTGCTGTCCTCCAGTTTTGCCCAAAGTTTCCTTGCCTGCTTCTGTGTTGTTGTTGTTAAGTGCCGTTGAGTTGGTTCCGACCCATAGCAATCCTGTACAGAGTTTCCAAGGAACAGCTGGTGAGCTTGAACTGTCGACCTTGCAGTTCAAACGGCTTTGCAGTCTGGCGCGTTAACCCACAGCACCACACCAGGATTCCTTGCCTGCTCTGTAGGGGTTGCTTATATCTGAGCTGGCATTCAGGGGAAGTACAGGCAGACTTTCATCCATTTCAGGAGCTGAAGGGACTGGCACCTCCCAGAAGGACCTTTTGGTTTCAAAGCCTCAGTGGCCCTGGGGTGACTGTGGGAGTTGTCTCCAAGTTGACTCATCTCCAACTCCATTGCAGGGAACCTTCTACGTGAGTTTGTATCAGCTACTGGTTGATGGAGGGGTAGTCACATTCTGAGCAGACACCCATGGAGGTCTGCCTTGTTACTATCAGAGCCTGTCTTGTAGTATGTTGGCTGTGGGTGTAACCTTCTTTCTGGATGCCTGCTTCCTAGCACACAGCGGCCTCAGTCAGAAGTCCTTCAATGCCAACATATGGGACTCATTGATTTGTTAATTCTTCCCAACCTGCAGTTTTCTGCTTATTTCCTCTGCTGCCTGACTCACAGTCCCTCAAATAGAAGCACTATTTCTTGGTTGTAGTTGTGGTAGAGAGCCGAGATGATAGTTTGTTACCACCTAGAAGTCCTCCTGTAATCCCACAGTGATGTTTAATGCCCCAAGAATATTATGTATGTGAGCATAGTTTATATGAATGTCATGTGGCCCCAACAAACAAATTTAGATCCTATGGAATCATTCTGGAGGAGTTTTCTATCCCGATTTCCACCTTTTGCCATTTGTGTGGGCAATGGTTCTCAAAATAGAAGCCCCGAAGCAGTTGTATTAGCATCAGCTTCAGCTTCACCTAGAGCTTACTAGAAATACCAATTCTCAGTTCCAATCTCAGACCTACTAAACCAGACACTTCACAAGCCCTCCACTGGATTCCATGCATGTATGCGAAAGTGTGCGAGCCTGGTTTGTAGTTAGGAGTATACACTCCAGAACCAGACCTGGGTTCAAATCCCAGCTCAGCCACTTCCTAGGGGCTAAGCCTTAGTTTTCTGATCTGGAAAATAGAGACAAGGACAGGCTCATCCCTTTTCAGATTGGACTGAGGAATTGAGACAGGGGACATGTGTACCACATTTAGGAACTTGGACATAGGATGCAGTCCACGCACATTTAGCTCTCAAGGATCCCTGGTGGTATAGTGGCTAAGCTCTAGACTGCTAACTGAAAGGTCTGTGGTTTGAATCCATCAACTGCTCTTCAGAAGAAAGATGTGATAGACTGTTCCCATAAAGATTGTTGTTGTTGTTGCTGTTAAGTGCTGTTGAATCGGTTCCAACTCATAGTGACCCTGTATAGGGTTTCTGAGGAGCCGCTGGTGGGTTTGAACCACTGACCCTGTGGTTCAAACAGACCAGTACTCCTCCATAAAGAATACAGCCTAGGAAACCCTATGGGGAAGTTCTACTCAGTCCCATAGGGTCTCGATGGGTCAAGAGCAACTCAATGTCTGTGGGTTTTGTTTTGTTGTTTGCTTTTATTTTTCGGCTTCTGGAGAATATGCTCCAGCTTCATTCATTTCATTTATTGTGTGTGCATGCACGCATATGTTCTGTTTGTTTGCTGTTGTTTGCGGCTAGTAGACTTTCGTTTTATCAAATGAAGTTTCCTTGATCAAAGACCACCCTCTTCTGAATAAGTATTTCCCCACGTGTCCTTAATAATGTCTCCTTAAACAACATTCAACTTCCAATCACATTCCTAATGATGATTCTTTTGGAAATTGCATGCACAGATATTGCAGGCCCAGTATTGCTGGATTTGTTACTGTCTTCCTCAGGAAGTCTTTCTCCTTTCATAAGCTTCCAAAGATCTCTTTTTGTGAAAACTAAGTTGCTTCATTCGGCTGATTCTCTATCTCTCATAAAATTCCATACAAAATTTAGCCTTCAAGTAGATCTTATTAAAAACAAACACACAGAAATAGATAGATAGATAGATAGATAGATAGATAGATAGATAGATAGATAGATAGATAGATAGATAGATAGATAAATGGAAACAAGGATCTTACCATCCAGGGAAGTAACCAGGACAACATGAAGATAAATGACAAGGAATATCTTGAACACCAGCAAAAGTTCTTCAGGTCGGCCAGCATGGCTATATTGCCCACCAGAGAAGAACATCCTGGAATGAAGTCAGGGGAAAACAGATCATCACAGTTGCCATAATCAGGACACATGAAAACCTAAAAGGTTAGTTCCTCAACAAGGCAGCCTGCAATCTTGCTTCCTTTAAAGTATGATGATTCCAGAGCTTCAGCAATGCCAGGTGAACATTGACTACAAAAAGAAAAACATCTGTTTATTATGAGAGGGTCACCCAGTAGTGGTTCTGTAGTAGAATTCTAGAATTTCATGCAGGAGACCCAGGTTCAATTCCTCGCCAATTCACCTCTTGTGCAGCCACCATCCATTTGCTAGTGGAGGCTTGCATGTTGCTAATAATGCTGAAAAGATTTCATCAGAGTTTCCAGACTCAGACAAACTAGGAGGAGATGTACGACAGCCTACTTCCAAACATCAGCCAGTGACAACCCAAAGGATTACAACAGTTCAATCCCTAACCGATCATGGTGGTGGTGCAGTGACATTTCGTTCCATTGTACAAGAAGTCACCAGGAGTCAGGGGTTGACTTGACAGCAGCTAACAACAACTCAGTGGGCTACTGTGTTTCAAAGGGTAAGCAAGTTAGTTCACATGGTAGTTCATACATAATTATTATCACCATTTAAAGGCTGGTTAAAGATGGCTAAGAATCAAAAGGGAGGGAGGGTCTCAGAACGTTATAAAATAATTCATACCTATTTATATTCATATTATAATGAAATGTGCAAAGACCTGGAATTAGATAATCAAAAGGGAAGAACAAGCTCAGCATCTCTCAAGCTGAAATAACTGAAGAAAAAATTCAAGTTTCGACTTGTAATACTGAAGGATTTTTTGGGCAAAATATTGAATGATGCAGAAAGCGTCAAAAGAAGACTTGCTTTACCAAAAAGAAGTGATCGATGTTCAAGCATTTCAAGAGGCAGCATATGATAAAGAGCCAATAATACTGAATGAAGAAGTTCAAGGTGTACTGAAGTCATTGGAAAAAAAACAAGTCACCAGAAATTGATGGAATAAAAATTGATATCTTTCAACAAGCTGAGGCAGCACTGGAGGCACTTGCTCATCTATGCCAAGAAGTTTGGAAGATAGCTACATGGCTAACTGATTGGAAGAGATCCATATTTATTCCCATTCCAAAGAGAGTTGACCCAATGGAATGCAGAAATCATCGGATAATATCAGTAATATCACATGCAAGTAAACTTTTGCTAAAGATAATTAAAAAATGGCTTCAGTTGTACATTGACAGGGAACTGCCAGAGGTTCAGGCCAGATTCAGATGAGGGGATGTGGGACGAGGGATATCAATGCTGACATAAGATGGATCTTGGCTGAAAGCTGAAATCAGAGAATCCCAGACAGATGTTTCCCTGTGCTTTAATGACTACACAAAGGCTTTCAATTGTGTGGATCATGACAAGCTGTGGACAACATTGTAGAGAATGAGTATTTCAGAACATTTAATGGTGCTCATGAGGAACCTGTACATTGACCAAGAGGCAGGCATTCAAACAGAACAAGGAAACACTGAATGGTTTAAAATCAGGAAAGGTGGGTGCCAGGGTTGTATTCCTTTCACCATACTTATTCAATCTGTATGCTGAGAAAATAATGTGAGAAGCTGAATTATATGAAGAAGAATGTGGCATCAGGATTGGAGGAAGACTCATTAACAACATGTTATATGCAGATAATACAACTTTGCTTGCCTGAAAGCGAAGAGGACTTAAAATATGTACTGATGAAGATCAAAGACCACAGCCTTCAGTATGGATTGCACCTCAAAGTCAAGAAAACAAAAATCCTCACTACTGAACCAATAAATAACATCCATATAAATGGAGAAAAAGATTGAAGTTGTCAAAGACTTCATTTTGCTTGAATCAACCATCAACACTCATGGAAACAGCAGTCAAGAAATCAAATGACATATTGCACTAAGCAAATCTAGTGCTCAAGACCTCTTTCAAGTGTTCAAGAGCAAAGATATCAGTTTGAATACTAAGGTGAGCTTGACCCAAACCACAGTATTTTTAATGCATGTGAAATTGGACAATGAATAAGGAAGACCTTAGAAGAATCAATGCATTTGAATTATGGTTTTGGAAACAAATATTAAAAGTTCCATGGATTGCTAAAAGAGCAAACAAATCTGTGTTGGAAGAAGTACAGCTAGAATGCTCCTTAGAAACTAGGATGGTCAGATTTCGTCTCTCATACTTGAGACACATTATCATGATGGACCAGTCCCTGGAGAAGAACATCATGTTTGGTAAAGTGGAGGGTCAGTGAAAAAGAGGAAGATCCCCCAAGGAGATGGATTGACACAGTGGCAGCAGCAGTGGGCTCAAGCATAGCAACAATTAGGAGACTGGAGCAGGACCATGCAGATTTCATTCTGTTGTGCATAAGGTCACCATGAGTCAGTACTGACTCGATGGCACCTAACAACAACATTGATATTTGGAGGAGTCCTGGTGTGGCACTGTAGGATAAGCACTGGACTGCAAGGTCAGTTTGAACTGTAAAGTCAGCAGTTCAAACTCACCAGCCACTTCTTGGAAACCCTATACAGGGTTGCTATGAGTTGGAACCGACTTGATGGCACTTAACAACAACATGTATATGTGGAGTTCTGGTGTGGCGCTGTAAGATAAGTACTGTGCTGTTAATCACAAGGTATGACAACTGATTTGTTTGGTTTTTAGGGCTTTGTTAGTTTGTGTCTTATAGTGTGAAAGGATGGGTACATTGCATTTCCTCTTTACTGTGTACTATTTATTATCATTGCCTGCATTTTTAGTAGTCAAGAAGACAGAGTCAGCATTTCTTAAAAAGCAAAGCTTATATCAGAGGTGAACTTAAAAGCCTCATTCATGTATTCATTCATTTAACAAATATTTCTTTTTTTTTAAAGATAATTTACATTTATATCTTGATTAACAAATATTTCTTGAGGACCAATATGTACCAAATAAGATCTGAGGGTTGAAGAGATGCTAACCAAATGAAATGCAGATGGCAGAGGTAGGGCTAGGGCTGGGGAAAGCACAGCATACAAAGAGAAATGACAAATGTTCAGCAAATATAAGAATGCACCTATCTGTCTTCAGGTTAAGAAGTTGGTCAACATGAACCTGCGATGGGCATTCAACATTGGATGCTGAGGGAGAAAGAAATTAGCTAAAAAAGCACAGCCCACACATGTGCTTAGGCAAGCAAGGGGGCAGTGAAAGCCCACTGAACAGACATGGCCAGAGAGGAAGTGGCCAGAAAAAACCAGGCTGAGTCGTCAATTGGCAGAGCATTCGCCCACAGGGGCATGGGTGAATTCAACCATCAAAGCAGCCTCTGCAAGTCCTAGAGACTGTGTGTGCTCAGTGGTGAAGAGTTCAGAGCATGGGGTCCTAACTTGTCAAGTATTGTCCGTTACTGTTAAATGCCATCGAGTTCGTTTCAACTCATAGAGTTCCTGTATAGGATTTCCGAGAAGAGACTGGTGAGTTTGAACCACTGTTCTTGTGATTAATAGTTCAGTGCTTATCTTACAGCGTCACACCAGGCCTATTGCGATGACAGCACCAACCCAACGGTGTTTCTGTGGTGATTAAACAAGTGATCAGGATTGCAAATGCACTTCAGATGTTAGTTGTATTCTTCACTCATTCATTCAAGAAAGATTACTTTTGTCCTGGTGTGGTGCTGTGGGATAAGCACTAGAGCATAAGGTCAGTTTGAACTGCAAGGTCAGAGGTTCAAACCCATCAGTCACTCCTCGGAAACTGTATACAGGGTCGCTATGAGTCGGGATCAACTTGACGGCACTTAATGAACATATACACACATATCCAAGGTGAGTCCCTGGGTGGTACAAATGGATAACGTGCTCAGCTGCTACTGAAAGGCTGTCAGGTCAAGCCTATCTGCCAGAGGTGCTTTGGAAGAAAGGTTTGGCGATCTATATCAAGAAAATCAGTCATTGGAAATCCTATGGAACACAGTTCTACTCTGACACACATGGGGCGCACCGTGAGTTGAAATTGACTAGACAGCAACTGTTGTTGTTGTTGTTGTTGTTTTAAATATCCAGAATAAGAGTAGGCATTAAGGGGATGAGGGCATGGAAAAGAAGGAGATACACCACAGTTTCTCAGCCTTATGGAAAAGCTGGCTATCTTTAAGAATCCTATAATTTAATAAGCATCACCAGTTCCAGAAGAGTAATTCTTTCCTTGGACATGGCGTGCCAATCTCTTAAACCAAGACACCAAGTGAATCCTTCTCCTTCCAGAGGGCTTACATTTTTAAAATGAATATATTGTATTATAGATTAGTAATCAAATAATATGCAAATAAATGATAAAATCTGTCCTCCTCTATAGTACTTTAGCCTGTCTCTGTTCATAATGGTATATTATTGATCCTCCCAAATGAGGCACTCAAATAAGAATGTTCATATAGTCATTCAATGTCTCTCTTGAGGAAAAATATAAGTGTCTTTTATGAATCTCAGAAACATAATGTGAGCCGAAGAAGCCAGCTATAAAAGAATGCATATTGCGTATGTTTCCATTCGTATGAAGAATAAAAACAGGCAAAACTAATCAATGCAGTGAAAAGTAAGGAGATTATTTATCTTGAGGGTGGGGAATAATAATCAGGAGTGGGTACATGGGGGTTTCTGAGGTGCAAGTAATATTCTGTTTCTTGACCTGTGTGCCAGTTACATGGATGTGTTTAGGTTGCAAAATTCATTGAGCTGCACGTCTACCTCTATGTACATCATACAAAATTTCAATTAACACTTTAAAATTTAATATATTTTTAACTTTCTGAATTCAGATCCTCTTGTAAAAGCACTGCTCATAAATAAAAACAAGCTATTAGTGAACTAATAAGCTCTACAAAAATCTCTCTCTCCTGTACAAATGCCAAAGGCTCAACTCTATCTAGAATTGGTAGTTTCTCCATTGACTTAGAAAATTTAATGTGCAAGAAGTATCTAATTTTA